GTTTACAGAGAACATATTAAAATACGATGTGATCGGATTCACTGAGACCAAAACCGATGACACGGACAGTATCTGTAAACCTGGATATGTCACATATATGTTAAAAATCGACATAAGTTTTAAAAAAACTAGATCTGGTGGAATCTTAGTAGCAATAAGGGGCAGTATTGTGAAACATGTACAAATTATAAAAACTGATTGTAAATATGTTGTATGGTTTAGCATCAATTTAACAAAGTTCTTTTTAACACAAATGATGATATACTATTCGGGGTTAGCATATTCCACCTAAACGAAGTAAATATTCCTTTAATGATTGGTTTTAGAAATAGAACAAGAATTGATTATTCTATCAAATGATTATAGAAGTGTTTGTTTAATGGAAGATTTTAATGCAAGAACTGGTCACCTACCTGATTATTTTATTCCCAATAGTTTTTTTGTCAAAAGAACATATATGTGATCATTTTACAATGAAATTGAAGCACGAATTATTGTATTTGAGAAATATTCAATACCTTTACAAAGAGTTATTCAAGACTCAAATATTAATAATTTCGGTTATAAAAAATTAGTAGCAAAAGAGATTAATGATACATCATATCGGACATATCCGATGAGATCTTAAACTCCGTGAAGATGAAATAAGACAAGCTGTTAAAAATGGAAAATCAGCGGGATTTGATAGTATTTTGAAATGAAATATTTCATCAACACTAACTATATCTATGCCAGTTTATCTAAAAAAATTGAACATGATATATGGAAGTGGACTTGTCCCAGAAGAATGGTTAATAGGTTCAACTTATAAAAATATATTGTTTCCAGTGAGAGTTAATAGTAAACGTAACTAGGAAATTATACAACGAGAGCAATTCTAAAAAAATAAATATCAAGTATTAGAAACATGATTTAATGAGTGGGCATTGGATAATACTGTGTGAAATGTATTAAGAGGTTTTTTTTTTTTTTTTTTTTTAGAAATTCTTCACGCTTCTGATCCCACCTCTGATGTTTTGGAGGTCCTGCTCCTATTATGTATTGTTTTATGGACTTTGATATTTTGAATACTGTTCGTTATCTCCATATCCATCTTGACGTTTGATTGCCGTTAAGTGTGCTCCGCGTATACAAAATATGCTGATTTTAAAATGAAGTAAATTGATTTGTGTGAAATCAGATGGAATGAAACTTCACAGATCAACAAAATTAATATTTTTGTAATGTGTTTTTCTTTAAATTTCTAGTGAGTAATATAACGAAAATCGAAATAGTCCACGAACTTTTCGAACAACCCTCGTAGATATTGCTAAAGATCTTACTATTATAATTTTTCCAATTAATATGTGTTAAGTTCCTCATTTTTCAAAGCTGCTTTTAGTTGATTTAAATTTGTATTTAAGTTTTTAGCAAGGAAGTTTTGTTCCCCACTTGAACTAAACCAAATACCAAGGGTAAAAATTTACCTTTTGACCATTTTACTTGGAAGATTCCTGGATTGAAAGAATGAGTGCAATTTAGTACGTCATTTGGAACCTTTTCGGCTACCCATTTTAATCCTTACCATAAAGGTGAGACAACATGAGCCTATATTTACTAATCTCACTATAAATACCAGAATTCTTTAAAAACACTTCTAACGAAAAATACCCGAAAAATAAGAAACATAGACTCTTCGAACCTTATAAAAATTGCGCAAAAATCTCCCATAGTTTGAAGTACGATAGATACTGTCCGTATAGTAACTTTAAATGACAAACACAAGGAAATGTTTAATGAAAGCGGTAGCATATCGAACAGTGGAATGTCACATGAGTAAAGTGATTATAATATCAATCGTTGACACTGTTAATTTAGTAGCTAACTTGACGGTAGTTTGGAGACTTTTACAAGCAATTAGATATGAGCTGCAAATTGACCAACATTGTATTTGGATATGTATAAGTTTAAATCAAAATACACAATCTGTGCAAATGAGGCCAATAGACAAGTTGCAGCTCAATGTGAACAATGCCGTTGAAAAATTGTATGCATATGAATAGCAATAGAAATGTGACAAATCTGTTAGACCACCGTCTCAAAAGCTAGTGTCGCTCGGCATTATTTAGTACTTTCATGTAATATGATTTATGGCACAATTTCTGTATGTTGTGCTTTTTTTATGGTTGATAGAATAAACAATAGAAAATGTATTGAAATGTACATATACCAAACCTGATCTTAAGACATTGTTTAATACCTATAAAACATAAATTTAAAGAAATTCGAGATTTTGTTTTGCGAAAAACATCGGGACCTAACTCTCATAGCTTAAATGCACTCATCTGTTATTCTTTTCCTATCCAAATGGCTTCAGTTTTATTCAAATTATTTTCAGTCCCTAACAATGCTTAAAATTTTTAATAACATTTTACATTTCCTGATTTTTCATCACTTAGATAACATATAGTGTCATCTGCTAACTGGCTAATCTTAAATCCAGTCTTCCCTATTTATACTAGTATGTTGCGCATATTTTTATTTGCTCTTATAGCTATATAAGCGGTTCTACGCATAAAAGGAACAAGTATGATGATCAAGGGCATCCTTGTCTTACCCCTCTAATTAATGTGAAAAAAGATATTGCAACTTGACAAACAAGTTAATGAAACAAGAATATCAGCAGTCTCGTTTAAAGTAATCGTTTCTTAAGATCATAATGGTTGATAAAATGATTTTGTCAGCAAATACAATTTATCATTTATTCAAATGCTGACTGAGAACGTTTTTCAGACTCATTGTTAGTCCATTATTTACACAATGAGATAGAGGCTGTTTTTACTATTTTTTCGGTCGTTGTAGGTGGCACATGGCGGGTATGGCCGATTGGATGCTCACTCCTCCATGGCACCTGATCCTACCCAAGATGTTTTGGAGGTCTGTGTTTGCCGTGCTCCTATTTTGTATTGTTTTATTGACTTCTGGGCTTGAATACTGTTTGCTATTTCATTTACTGGAACCTACTTTTATTCTGTTGGATTTTATGAAACTAAGGAATCCATTGTAGATATGGTTATTCAAATTCATTTCTTAGGAATATAAAAACTGTAAAAACTGATATATGAAATTTGGAGAATTTTCTCTTAAGGAATTATAAACTGGATTCCACCTGCAAATTATAATCTCAGCTCCTCTTAAATACAATTAGAGTAAAGAGCCTAACAAACAAAGACAGTGTTTCACCCGTAGCTGTCAGTTGAGATAAGAAGGTACTCGAAACTCAACTCATATGAAACAATACAGATTTGGAGCAGAGAAAACACGGACCTAAAAATTTAGAGGTGGGAACAAGTGCTGTAAAGGAATAAGCATCCCTGCCGATTGGTCACACCTGTGATATCACACTCGATGATAGACAGAACATTACATACTCAAATTAAGTGTAAATATAAAGGCTAAAAATATTGTCATGAAAGACGTCAATCAGAGATACGAGGCAACTATAATATGCATTAAAATGATGTTATGTGAATAGGAAATCCTTTTTTAAATAATGACCAAACAAGGCTGAAATATTTCTTGCGCAGAGTTTAAAACTGATCGAGGAATTAGTCTAGTATCACTCATGGACACTAAAAATTAGCTTCTGTTCGGAAATTTCAAATATTTATTTCCTATCTCCTTTTTCTTTTACATTTCAATGTATTTACTCCTTAACCTTTTCTTCTTAGAAATTGAAAGAAAAAAGTTTTAATGGCTGTCGAGGATATAATAAGGGACTCGCTGATTGTAATCTGCAAAAGTGGTAAATATTTGCTTTAAAAATTATTTCAAAGTTGATACGTTCAGATGTATTGGATATCTTAAATTATTAGAGCTTTAAACATATTGTATTATTGATTATCGTATACATACTGCCTTGTTTCTCGAACTGATTTAGAAAAAAAAAAACGTGTGGATGTCAGTTGCTACTTTAATATGACAGAGTGTATCAGGTATATCACCAGTGAAATGTACTTTATGTGGGATATTTGTAAAAACTAAGGAAAACATGCACAAAGTACATGATTTCATTTCTTTTTATTAATTCAATAAAGTATATTTAAGAAAAAAGCATTTGAATGCTGAAAGAGTACATGCATACACTTGCACATGATTAGATTCGATCCAATAAAAAATTGTCTGAAGTGTGAAAAAAATATTTCATTCTAAGCCATCTTAATTTGTTATTCTATTGATTTACAATATCTTTTTATTACACTCCTTTAAATGTTTATGAGCTGTGTGTTATTTGGAAATAAATTGCTAACCCTTTAGAAAAAAAAATATTTTACCTATATTGTTTAAAATGATTATATTGAGAACAAGTTACGAGTGACTTTAACTGAAATTATTATTATCATGACACTAGATGTGATCTCGGACAGACCAAGGAGCAGGGTAGGATTAGTGCTAAATGTAATTCTAATGTTAATGAAATCCCGCTGTTGCCAGTAATGTGTAATGCCGAAATCTACATGAGACAACGAAGTTTATCCAACAGATCACTGACTTCTCCAATTTGTATTTAACTACTCGGTCATTTCCGTAACCACAGATAACTTTTTATCGGTTAAGGAAAAGGGCGAGCGTGATCCGATTACAACTGTCAAGCACGGAAAACATCGATATCTTAAAATCAGACAGTGACCCTACTTTAGGACCTTATGTATCTGTTGCCAATTATTTATTAGAGTAATGCTAGCGTTTTTAATTGAAAAATCGTTAAATATACAGATTGAATAGACAATTAGTCAATTGTTATAAAAACTTGTTTGTTGTTCTGTATTAAAGTACTCTAAAAATGATCAATTTTCTGTACAATAACACCACAGTTAAAATGCTTTTACTTATTCATAGGGATCCAGTAATAGTCCATTTGTTTTTGCAGTGGGAATAGTTTTTAAGAGTTATTGATTTTTCAAGACACAAATGGTAGGGATGGTAAATAAGAGATAAATTGTTCCAAGAAATAGAAATAGGAACATGCACTTGATGAAAGTGGCAGGTAAGCCTTTTTTTAAATTGCTGAAAAAAATTACCTGAAGAGAGGTCAATTTGTGTGCAACATGACAAAAAGAAAAAATGATAATAATAAATTAAAATTAATTTTAAATTTAATTTGAAATAAAGTTAAATCTGGATTTATTCATATTTATGAATGTTGTTTACCAATATACAATCCATCGATCATGTTGGGGATCTAATTACCGTGATGAGCAAATTGTACTTGTCAGAATAGAAAGCATACATGATGCGTCTTCTTTTGCATCTTTATCAATACGATCATATTTATTTTGATTAATTTTCTTTTCTTTCTTTGTAGGCATTTGGCTTATTTTAAGCTGTGGTATAGGTTCGTTATTTTGTGTAGAGTTATATCGTGTCACTAATGGAAGGGTTGGTAATTTTGAAGTATATACTGAGGAACAGATATTTAAATTGTCAGAACTGGACTGTTCCAGAAGCTGTATAAAGAACAAGAAGTGTCTGTCCATCGTATTTTATTCTGAGAACGGTCAGTGTCATCTTCTTTCAAGAGGTATATCTCAGAATGTCTCGGAACCCAATCTGCCTCCGAACATACAGGTCTATACGAGGAGTAAGTATTTCACAAAATTATTTTAAGTGTTGGAAGATTTTTTCGAGGATTTGTAATTAAATAATTTGATTGTATGATAGCAGCAACGATTACATAGTTTTGGACTACACATTAATATCTGCAATAGATACTGTGGCCAGAGCTGTTCAGAAATTATTGATAATTAGCTGTTATTTTTCTTTCTAATAAATGCCTTTTGGTACAAACTGGCATGATACAAATTGGAAAAAAGTTTTACAGACACCAAAAGTATCAAAAGCAAAATAATTTTACAAAAATTGTGTTTCTCCTTTTCAATTGTATATTAATATGTCAATGGTAGGGGTACTCGATCCAGTCACGAAATCGGATATTGAAAATATATGTAGCATCTACGTTCAAACTCCCGACGGACTTTTTTTGCTAAGGGCTAAAATAATTCAGCTTGTGAATATATATGTTTTTAATTCTATCTAACGTCATTTGAGCAGCTTTGTTATAATTTCGATTAGAAACGTAATATAAAAAGTTTTGCATACATCCTCACAATTAATGTTAATTTTGTGTTCTAAACAAATTATTCAATGACAAATTATGAAAATTATGAAATTAAGGCTCTGTAATGACATTTTTATTATTGACCACCCTCACCCGGCAGGGGATGCTCACTCCTCCATGGCACCTGATTCAACCTCTGATGTTTCGGAGGTCCTTGTTTGTTCTGCTCTAATTTTGTGTGAAATGGACTTGAATACTATTCGTTATCTACGTGTATATATATTTCATCTTATTAATTTGAAATTTTGCAAATTTGCTATTTTTGTTACTTTAAAAAAATTTATTTTTTATGAATGAAAAGTATTTGTACATCATTAAAATAATTTAGAGCAACTGTCGTTTTATTTTGTTATCATCTACCTGATATGATCTTTAAAAAATAACAATTAATTTTTATTGGATATATATATTGAATAGGAAGAGTGGAATGTAAAAGATTAAAATACGAAATATATCATATATTTATGATAAATACGAATACATGTATTTAATGAAATATATGGAGATAAAAAGCAGTATTCATGATCAAAAAGCCATTCAAACAATACAAACAATACAAAATAAGAGGACAGCCAGTACTTGACCTCTAAAACATTTGAGGTGGAATCAGGTGCCATGGAGGAGTGAGCATAACCTGCCAACTGGCCATACCCACCGCGTGTTCCTAATGTCATGATAAGTAAATAACCAAAAAATGTCGACAATTCCGTGTGCATTAAATAATGATCTAATAATTAGCATAAAACACATCAGTCAGCATTTGACTTAATGAAAGATTGTATTTGGGAACAATGTCATTTATCAACCATAGAAATTACAAAATGATGAATAAAAGGAGAATGTTGATATCTTTGTTTCTTCAATTCAAATTGTGATAAATTAAAGTAAAATACTAATTTACATGTATTTTTGCATGTCATTAGGAGGCCTCACGTGTTCTGATATAGAATATCAAGATTTGCCCATCAGTGGTACCTGTTTTAAAGTATTTAGCGAACAGAAAAATCAACATGATGCTAATGCAGAATGTATGAAAGAAGGTGGACACCTTATTCGGCTTACATCTGCAGGAAAGCATGAAATCATACATGATTACATAAAATCTTCGTCAAGTAAGTAATAAATAAAGTAAAAGAAAAACCATCTATACGTTATGGTAAATAAGTATTTTTTTCTGAATAGGATTTGTTTGTGGTGTCTATGTCTCCAAAATAAGTATGTTAAACCCAAAACGTTTATTTTTAAGGATTTTGACCATTTTTTGTTTAATTTTTCCGATGGAAGAATTGTTTACAACAAAAATGACGACAAACTAAAAGTTCTAGAACTGGATGTCATACACGAAGATTGCTGTTAACTATTTGAGTATAAGTTTATGATCGTAGTTGTAAAATTGTCTATTTAAAGAATTAATTGCTTGATTTATTCTTATTATAATATTTTTTGAAAAACAAATTCAAAAATAAAAGTTTACATGTTGAGCCGGGAGTTATTTTGAACATGTTGAATGTTTCGTTTATAATACCGTATAACTGGATTGTTCTACGTGGTGCTATTTTTTGCGAAATTCTGCGATCAAGTCTTAATCGCAAAAAATACGTAAATAAGATCCGGAATTTTCAGTTGCGATCATCGAGGTTCTACTTTTACAGATACCGGAAGTATATGTAAATAATGCCATTGCACGTTTTCAATCATATTATACAGGTAATTTACTTGATATCAACAACAATGATTGTTTTTCGAATAAATAAAACGAATTCCTAAAGATTCAATATTTATTTGTTCCTAAATTGTATTTCATGATTTATTTACATGAAACCCGAATAGCAATTGTCGGTTTGACTATTCCGCAGCTTGATCGGGTCCTTCACAAGTGTTTACCAGATTTTTCTTAATCGGTATTCTATCCTTGAGAAAAGAATTTCTTGTGTAATATTTCCCCTACTGGGATTATCTAAACTCTTTATAATCATAAATGAAAGTTCATAGTCTATGGGGACTTATAAATTAAATTAATTTCAAAGAATTATCGTCTCGGTTTCAATTCAAAATAATTGTTACTTTGTTTCTAATTTACCCTGTGAATAATAACCCATTAATTATAACAACACACGGACAACCCACAGGTGTAGTGTCACTTATGTAAACACCCAATTAACAGCCCAAGGCCTTTACTATTTCCAGGTAAGTCCAGACTGCATCTATTTTACGCTTGATTGGCGTGTATACAAGCGCAATCAAAACTTCGAGAGATAGAGAGTAAAATTCAATGAAATATGTGTAAAGAGACCCAGGATTTGGTTCGAGAGATAGAGAATTTCGAGAGATAGAAGTTCGAGAGATCAGGAGTAAATTTGCTTAGTTATATATAGAGGAAAAAACGGGACCGGAGGTTCACTTCGAGAGATCGGAGTTCAAGCCATCGAGAGTCACCTGTATTTTAAATTGCTTTGGTTTGTTCAATAAAAAATAAAAATAGACTATAGTGTTTAAATGTCTAGTGATAAAATTCAATAAAAATAGACTTTATTGGCAAAGTGAAATCGCTAAAATTAAAATCGCAAAAAATAAAAAAAACCTATTTCAGGATCAAATCGCAAAAATTTGCACCCGCATTAAAAACCAGTTATACAGTAGATAAAATATTATCTGTGGATATATTTTACTGAAAGTTCTGTGAATTATTGAAAAAGAAATGTTCATTATAATGTTAGCCTTTTCAGTTACGCTAAACCCGCGAAACACTTTAGTATAATTCTTCTATATTATTAACATTATAGACTCATTTTATTCCCAAAAATCTACTGAAGAAAACCTCTTAGACTTTTTCATCCATCAATAACTTAAATTGAAATCCTTTTACAGGTAGTGGATTTTTTATCGACGGAAGTGACGCAGTAACGGAAGATGATTGGCGTCTTTCTGACGGAAGTGCTCTCTACCTGAATTGGTATCCGGGAGAGCCATATCCCTCTTGGAAATTGATTGAAGACTGTGTTATTATGTTTCCTAACGGTGAGTATAATGACATTGAGTGTGGATCGAAGTGGCCATTTATTTGTGAAAGGCAGGCACTCCCTGTTATATAAATCACTGTGTTATTTGTACATGTATATTGGAAGATTTCGTATATGTACATTAATTCAATAATAATGATTTTCATTAGAAATTCATATTTGAAAATGAATACTGCATTCCATCAATGCTTTTAAAACTTCATATGGAAGGATGTACTGCTTTTAACGCATCTTAATATTTAATGACAATCAATGGGAATCTTTCATGCCAACAGTGTAGTGCTCAACGTGAATGTGATAAAATATACTAGTGTGCAGGTAACGAACAGCATTCAAACTCAAAAGTTCACTATGACAACACAAAACGGGAAAAGTACAAACACGTACCTAAAACATCAGAGGTGGGATCAGATGAAATGGATGATTGGACATATCCTGCTGACCGGTCACGACTGCTCATTTTCTTGCTCGGGGATCAAGAGAAAAATCCGTTGATAAATCACTGTTTGAATAATGTTCTAACAATTGGTATAAAAAACGTGTCCTTCAAATTGGTCGACGACGTATTATAAATTAACAATAGTTACTCTTTTTCATAAGTCAACTCTACAAATCCCAGTGAGCCTGAAATAAAAGATACCTTAGAGTCTGACATATCTGTCTCATATTTGGATTCTTTGCTAGAAAAAGACATTAATGGTAACCTAACATCGAAGTTTTAAAATAAGTGAGATGACTTTAAATTCACTATCGTCAGCTTCCTTTCTTGGGTCGCAGTATACCATTATAATGTGCTAATGGGGTTTCTCGATACATAATTCATACATACATACACGATACATGATTCGATATATAAGAGCATGATCTAAAACGAGGCGAGTTATTGACAAACAAGATGATGAAACAAAGATATCAGCAGTCTCATTTAAAGTCATCATTTCAAAAGTTCTATGGTCGATACAATAACCTTGACAGCATATACAGTTTATCAGATGTTATTATACCTCTAATGATTTTTAGGTCACCTGAGTAAACTCAGGTGACCTATTGCTATCACTTTTCGTCCAAGTCGTTCAACGTCGTGCGTGTGCGTCGTGCGTTGCATTTGAACATTTTCAGCTTCTTCTCTAAAACCACTGAACCAATTTCAACCAAATTTGGCATATAGCATCTATGGGTGAAGGGGAACAAAAATTATGAATTTCATGGGCCCTGCCCCCCTGGGGCCTGGGGGGTGGGGCAAAAACCACTAAAATTAGTGCAATCTTTAAAAATCTTCTTCTTTACTCCTGGACATCAAGCAGTCAACAGTCAAACTGTTTGCATGATTGTAATCAGCATTGAGTCCTCTACCAAAATTGTGAAATTCATGGCCCCGGGGTCAGGGGTTCTGGTGTTAGGGTGCTAAATAAGTATATAGTAAAATTTCATGAATTCTTTGAAAATCTTCTTCTCTGCTCCTGGGTATTAAATAAACTAACTAAGTGCATAGTTATAATGTGAAGTGCCTCTACCAAAATTGTGAATTTTATGGCCCCAGGGTCAGGGGTTCTGGTGTTAGGGTTCTATATAGATTATATAGTGAAAATACATAAATTCTTTGAAAATCTTCTTCTCTGCTCCTGGGTATTAAATAAACAATCAAGTGCATAATTATGATGACAAGAGTGCCTCTACCAAAATTGTTCTCATTATCTTGAATTTTATTCACTGGCCCACAGGGTCAAAAAGGGGTTCTGGTGTTAGGGTGAAAAGTGCTGCATTATTATTCGGCTCTATAGATTATATAGTGAAATTTCATGAATTCTTTGAAAATCTTCTTCTCTGCTCCTGGGTATTAAATAAACTAACTAAGTGCATAGTTATGATGAGCAATTTCTACCAAAATTGTGAATTTTATGGCCCCAGGGTCAGGGGTTCATGTAAGGGGGGGGGGGCTTATTACATAGTGAAAATACTTGAATTCTTTGAAAATCTTCTTCTCTGCTCCTGGGTAATAAATGAACTAAATAAGTGCATAGTTATGATAAGCAAGAGTGTCTCTACCAAAATTGTGACTATGTCATTTCAGGGGTTCAAATGGGGGGCTCTATAGTTTATATAGTGAAAATATCATAATATTTGAAAATCTTCTCTGCTCCTGGGTATTAAATAAACTAAATAAGTTACATAGTTATGATGAGCAAGAGTGCCTTACCAATATTGTTAATTTTATGGCCCCAGGATCAGGGGTTTTGGTGTAAATAGCTCTATAGATTATATAGTGAAAATACTTGAATTCTTTGAAAATCTTCTTCTCTTCCTGGGTATTGAATTAACTAACTAAGTGCTTTGTTATGATGAGCAAAAGTGCTTCTACCAAAATTGTGAACTCGATGCAAGGGCATTCTGGTGTAGGGGGGGGGCTCTTTCAAATATAGCTGAAAATACATTTCTTTGAAAATCTTCTTCTCTGCGTCTGGGTATTAAATAAACTAAATAAGTGCATAGTTATGATGAGCAAATGCCTCTAAAAAATTGTAATTTTATAGGATCAGGGATTTTTATGGGGCTTTATTGATTATACAAAAAATACACTTTCTTTGAAAGTTTTCATCTATATCCTTGGTATTAAGCAGATGAAATTGCCTATGTAGTTATGATGAGTAAGGGTCCTAATCTTCCAGAATTGTGAATTTCAAGGCCCCAGGGTCAAGGGTACCATAAAGGATGGGGGGGGCTGTATTTATATACTGAAACTGGATGAATTGTTTAAGATCTGCTCCTTGGTATTTATCAAATATTTTTGAAAAGCAATGCCTTTTCAAAAATTGTGCAATGTGTGGATCTAAAAGGGTCAGGGGTTCATGTGTGATTGAGGCATTACTGATCATGCTGAATATTACTGATTACTTGAAATGCAGTTTTTGTTCCCCTACCCTGCCTATGGGTATTAAGTAAACATAACGAAGCAACTTAAGTGTCTGTTATGATGATCAATGGTGCCTATTTCAAAATTGTGAATGCCATAGCATCTGGATTAAAACATGAATCAAATTCAATCACTGGAAAGTTGTTGCATAATGCTCAGGTGACCTATAAGGCCCATGGGCCTCTTGTTCACTATATAAAAGTAAATCGATATATTTTGCTGATTTCCTGAAAATCACTGTAAATAAACCGATTCCCTGCAAAACAGACTGATTCCCTGCAAAAAAGTACGTTTTTTTTATGAGCTGATACACACCTATTCGGAACGCTTGACATTTTCTTTCAACTTACGACAAACTTAAAAATGTACCTTAATAAACTCATAATATTCATTAGTGAATCGAAATGCATCGCGAGTCAACTGGTCCCATTTCAATAAAAAAGAACCAGTTTACTGGAAGCGAACGACAACAAAAATGGCGTGCTCAAATTTACGTAATGTTACTTTCGATTTTACTAAGTAAATACTCGGACAATGAACTGATTTATTGATAACATGGAATTCCTTTCATGACTGTATTCTGTTTTTTTCGATTTTTTATCATTCCTGTTGGAATTACGAACATTGTTACTGAATACAGTATTGAATATAATTTCTTCAAATGTCTTGTTTGTATCGGTATAATAAAACAGTTAAAGTATCAGCATTTCAGTTAAAGTCATTCACTTGGATAAGTATCTATGGCGCATAAATAACCTTGACTCTTGGCAAATACAATTTATCATTCAACGAAATACTTTAACTGTATACTGACTGGCTTTTTCATACTAATTATTAGTCCAATATTTATACACTGAATCATCACAAGGAGCACACGGCGGGTGTGACCGGTTTGCAGGGGATGGTCACTCCTCCATAACACCTGATCCCACCTCTGATGTTTCGGAGGTTCGTGCGTGTTTGCTCTGCTCCTAATTTGTATTGTTTATGGGCTTTGATATTGAATATTGTTCGTTCTCATCATATCCCTCATTGTACTCTCAGCATGATTATTGCTAGCAATTGTTACATTTAATCTCAGTTTATTACTAGTAGTCACCATGTTGTCACATTTACCTTTGATGAATGCATACAATACTTGTGCTTGTTACTTTTATTGTATAGTCAAACTTTGTTGAATAGTTTAGCACAAATAAAACAATAGCAAAAACACAACAAAAAAGCAACTTTATTGGAAGATGTAATGAGAGAATGACAAATGGTAGGAGTGAAATTGTTACAGGACTTAGATAATATTTTAACGTTGTTCAGAGAGAAAGTGTATCTGTGTAGAGCTTGGAGCATAGTTGTTTTTCCATTCCCCATTATTAGCATGCAATCTTCGAAGACCCTTCCGTCAGCAAACTTCAGTCACCCTCACTTATTTCGTCATGCACATCCGTCAATAAAGAACATTGATCCTGAAAACATTTTTCAATGACATGCAGCTGGTCAAATGAACCGATTTTCTTGCATATATTATGGAAAGCCAACCGCACGAGTCATGTTCAGATTGGAATGTTCAGATTGTGACGTCATATGACGTCGTAGATCTACGTTATTTTGCATTTCCATAACAAAGTCTAGATAGTGCCTATATTTCCTTGTCAAGCGAATGGAGAATGAAAATATATTAGAAATAAAATTTAATTTTTTAAAGTTTCATTGGGAATGACATGAAGTCGGTACGTGATAAAAATTTACTATAATGCCCTTTGATGTTATAAAATTTGATCACAAGACCGACTTTATGTCATATCCCGACGAGATTTTAAAAATGATATCTTATTTCTTAAGTAAACTGTTTCTAGATTTGTCGTTATGAATTGATTAACAGGCAAAAAGTAATTGAGAAGTAAAGTGTAACTACCTTATTTATGCATCAATGATTATAAATCGACGTAAAAATTACATTCTTTGTTTTCTACGCTAACATTTATCTCTACTTCCCGGAAGACTTGTCTCTTTTAATGGTTCTATACTTTTCACAAGCCCATCATTTTTCACGTGCGCCATAAATAATATAAAACTTGTGAATTTAAGAAGAGGTAAAGGACAATATTAAGGAATATAGATAGATGATTCGCCAGATTGAATAAGTTGATAATAGAAGATTACAAAGAGACCCATTTAAAGTCAAAGTTTTTCAAATTCTATTGTCGCTACAATGACCGTATTGGCAATTCATGTAAAATATATCGGTAAAGAATTTTTAGACTG